GTATTTTTTTTTAAAGATTTTATTTATTTATTTGAGAGAGAGAGAATGAGAGATAGCATGAGAGGGAAGAGGTTCAGAGGGAGAAGCAGACTCCCTGCTCAGCAGGGAGCCCGATGTGGGACTCGATCCCGGGACTCGAGGATCATGACCTGAGCCGAAGGCAATCGCTTAACCAACTGAGCCACCCAGGCGCCCTGAATTAGTGTATTTTTGTATTTTGGGGGTAAATACTCAGTAGTGTGATTACTGGATCATAAGGTAGTTCTATTTTTAACTTTTTGAGGAACCTCCATACTGTTTTCCACAGTGGCTGTACCATTTTGTACTCCCACCAACAGTGCAAGGGGGTTCCTATTTCTCCATATCCTCTCCAACACTTGTTTCTTGTGTTTTTGACTTCAGCCGTTCTGAGGTGTGAGATGATATCTCACTGTAGTTTTGATTTGCATTCTCCTGATGAGTTATATTGAGCATCTTGTTATATGTCTTTCAGCCATCTGGAAGTCTTATTTGGAGAAATGTCTGCTCATGTCTTCTGCCCATTTTTTAACTGGATTATTTGTTTTGGGTTTTGAGTTGTGTAATTTCTTTAAATATTTTGGATACTAAACCTAAGCTACCAGTTTAAATACCATCTTCAGCTAAAGACAGAAGAAAGAAAGGTGTGAGGACACTCATTATAGGGAAGGGGAGGATGGTTAACAGGAAATTCACCATAAACAAGGGTAAAGTTTGTTATGCACATTTAAATCTGCAACTTAACGGTTGGTACTCTGGATACCATTGATTTTTTTGTGATTTAGAGTCATGCTTCTCTTCTTGGTACAGAGAGGGAGACATCCTTTATAAATGTAAATTCCCTTTTCAAAAAGTAACTTTTACTCTTTTCAAAGCTTTTCCTATGTCTGCTCTTTCTCAATCAGCTCAAAATAATCTGTGCCATCTGCCCATTCTTAACTGGATTACTTGTTTTTTGGGTGTTGAGTTTGATAAGTTGTTTATGGATTTTGTATACTGGATTTTGTATACTAACCCTTTATCAGATATGTCATTTGCAAATATCTTCTCCCAGTCAGAGAAAGACAAATACCATATGATTCCACTTATATGTGGAATTTAAGAAACAAAACAGATGAACATAGGGGGTAGAAAAGAAAGAGGCAAACCATAAAACAGACTCTCAACGATAGAGAACAAACTGAAGGTTTGCTGGAGGGGAGGTGGGCAGGGGGATGAGTTAAATGGGTGATGCGTATTAAGGAGGGCACTTGTGATGAGCACTACATGTTGTATATAAGTGATGAATCACTAAATTCTCTCCTGAAACTAATATTACACTATATGTTAACTGAAATTTAAATAAAAATTTGAAAAACAACAAATAAATAAAAATCCACACCAAAGAGGCATATTTTGGGGTGGCATATTCTGTTTCCCTTCACTACGTGCTAACCGTAGATAGATGAGTGCCTTCTATCTAGTTTCTACACCTCTAAAATTTGAACAGTGGTATTTCTCTACCTTTTTGATAAGATTGTTATGAAGACTATGGGACATAATGGAAGGGAAAGCATATTGTAAATGGTAAAATTCCATACAAATGCAAATGAATGATGGAAGAATTATTTGTAATATTAGATTATAAACTTAATAAGGGGTTGGATGGGATTAGGCTTTAATGATCATTACAGCCATCACAATGCTTAGCATAGTACTAACCAGTGAATTTAATAGGTGCTCAAAAAAATAAAATAAAAATTTCCTAAATGAAATAAAATGATGAAAAGGAATGAGGGTGTCTAGCTCTTTTTTACCTGCAGTCCCAGTTAGGATTTGGTGACTTCATTGCATGTGTGAGAGATTTCCAGTGCTGACTCATGGCATCTATCCCTTTTATAAAATAATCATTTTGAAGAAGATAAGTAAAGGACTTGGAGATTGGGCTGCTTTCCATTTGTTATTTCTAAGAGAAGCCATTCCCAGAATTTTTCAAATTTTCTCACTTTGGTACACAGAATTTTCTGAAATCAGGTTTTTTTTGTGTGTTTTTTTTTTCTGGGAGAACAAATTTATGAAGTCGTGTGTATCACTACATGGACATATTGTAGCTGGTGAAAAACTGTTATGATAAATGGGAAACATACAGTTTTTTTCCTTTTTTATCTTTGGCTTTTCTCTGTGTGGTACAGATGTTGAGCCTTGTGAAATATACAGTTTAGTACTTTGCATTGCAAATAGAGTACAAGTAAATGCCCTTTGATAACTTTTATGCCTAGCAAGTCTCTGGCAAGAGTCTGTTTTGTTTGGGTAGGAGAGCCTAGCAAACAAAAATCTCACTTTCATCCTGTGCTAGGAAATGGAGAGTATTGTCTTATTTCTGCAACTCATAAACAAAATGTTTAACACTTTCTTAGGAGTCAAAGAACATATGGTGATAGTCTCAAATGTGTATGCAGCATTATATGAGATCCTTTTGTTGGTAAAAAGAAAGTAGAGTAAGTCAAAAATGCATTAATACTTTCAGTCTGTTGAGGTCAAAATGGACTTGAGGGTTGAAAGATTTAAAGATTGTTAGCAAGGAGGAGGTTGTTGTGTTGCTAACGTGAATGCTAATATTTAAGTAGCCTAAGAAAGAACATAGGTAGGGTCCCCTCTCACTTTTAAAATCACATTGTATCCAATAAGTGTCAGCTGCAAAGTAATTTTCCAGAAATGGTCTGAAAAAAGAAAAAAAAAGAAATGCTCTGATTTTCTCCATTGACTTTCATTGTAAAATGAGAGCTGTGTTCCCCTCAAAAATAAATTTGGCCCCAAGTTATAATAAAACATCCTGAAGAATTCAGAAAATCTTAAATATAAGATTTATACTTTTAGAAATTTTATATCTTTATATTTGTAAATTTTAAGATTAATCTCAAAATCATAAAATCGGTTATTTCAAAACACATTTATCAGTGCCTGATTAAATAATACTACCATAAAATATTAATACACTATAGTAGACCTTGTAATAGCATGCATCAACCTGTGCTATTATCCTTCTTTTATAATTCTTTTTTTTAAAAGATTTTATTTATGTATTTGACAGAGAGAGACACAGTGAGAGAGGGAACACAAGCAGGGGTAGTGGGAGAGGGAGAAGCAGGCTTCCCGCCGAGCAGGGAGCCCTATGCAGGACTCGATCCCAGGACCCTGGGATCATGACCTGAGCCAAAGGCAGACGCTTAGTGACTGAGCCACCCAGGCGCCCCAACCTTCTTTTATAATTCTAAGTATTTTACCTTTTCACAAAAAGACATTTTACTTCTGTGATCATTGATTTTTTTAATTTAACTCTGATTTTTAAAGGTGGATTTGGTTTCCTTTATTCTTCATTGTTAGCCCACTTAACCTTTCTCTGAAGCATTCTTACCAATTTACATTCAAAAGTTATTAGCCATAGAAGAAAGACTAGAAGAAAATACTCCAAAATGTTCACAATACTTGCTTCTGAGTTAATGAAAATTTTAGTTGGTTTTTGTTTTTGAAGTCGCCTAAAGAGATTTTTTTTTTTTTAAGAGAGAGAAAGGGGCGCCTGGGTGGCTCAGTCCTTGGGCATCTACCTTTGGCTCAGGTCGTGATCCCAGGGTTCTGGGATTGAGCCCACATCAGGCTCCCTGCTCGGCGGGAAGCCTGCTTCTCCCTTTCCCACTCCCCCTGCTTGTGTTCCCTCTCTCGCTGTCTCTCTCTCTGTCAAATAAATCTTTAAAAAAAAGAGAGAGATTGGGGTACCTGGGTGGCGCAGCCAGTTAAGCATCTGACTCTTGGTTTTGGCTGAGGTCATGATCTCAGGGTCGTGAGGGTGAGCCCTGAGGTGGGCTCTGCACTCAGAGCAGAGTCTGCTTGGGCAGGGGGAGCAGAGGGAGAGTCTTAAGCAGGCTCCACGCCTAGCACAGCTTTTCTAGAGCATACTACTCAAAGTGTATCCAGGACTGGCAGTCTCAGCATCACCTGGGAACTCGGTAGAAAGTGTAATTCTCAGCCTCCTGGGCTCAGTCCCAGCAAACAGTCTGGATTTTAGCAAGCCCTTTGGGTGATTAAGGTTCTGGCACTATAGCAGAATCTCTCCCCCTCTTTCCCATCTCCCTTTCTCCCCTTCCGTCTTCTCCCTTTCTCTTCATACCTCCCTCTTGCCTTCCCTCCTCCTCTCTCCCTGTCCTTCCCCTCTTCATGTGGGATACACACACACACACACACACACACACACGCGCACAGCCTAAAGATAGAATTCACCGTGACCTCTCTCTAAACAGAATGCGTGTAGTTAAAAAGAGAATATTTTTTTCTAAGTTTCTTGTTGTTTGTTTCTGCCCTACCTTGTTCATTAAAAGATAACTGAGGCAGTTTTCTGGTATTTGTACTTATATGCTTTTATTTAGCAAACATGTTTTGCATGGTTATATAACATTAGATAGTTATACCTAGTTTAGAAATTTTTGAAACCCATTAACCAATAAAATGACTCTAGCAAGTTATTATAGACTGACTTGTATCCCTGCAAAAATTCATATGTTGAAGCCCTAACCCCCAGAATCTCAGAATGTGACTGACTGTATCTGGAGATAGGGTTTTAAAGAGGCAGTTAAGTTAAAATGAGGTCCTTAGGGTGTACCCTACTCCAATATGACTAGTGTCCTCATAAGAAGAGGAGATGAGGACACAAACACAGGCAGAGGGACCACCACGTGAGGATATAGTGAGAAGGTGGCCATCTACAAGCTAAGGAGAGAGGCCACAGAAGAAACCAAACTTGCCAACACCTCGATATTGAACTTCTAGCTTCCAGAATTGTGAGAAAAATACATTTCTGTTGTTTAAGCTACCCAGTCTGTGGTATTTGTTATGGCAATCGTGGCAAATTAATATGTAAGTATTTATAAAAATGATGGTATCGTTCAATCTTAACATCTAGTGTTTGCCTTTAAGATGCTATTGGGTCATGTTCCTTAACAGAAAGTTACAGCTTTACAAAGAGTGCCAGAGACCAGTATGAAAAACTGTTCACCATGCACAACAACATGCTGAAGCTCTATGAGAATCTTGGAGAATACTTTATTTTTGACTCTAAGACAGTGAGCATAGAAGAGTTCTTTGGTGATCTCAGCAACTTCCGAACTTTGTTTCTGGTGAGTAATACATCTTAAAGGATTGCAAGGCCTGTTGTTTGTGTTTTTTTAAAAAATTTCTTCTGTTAGCATTTTATGTACCTATTGATCATATTGATTTCATGTTATAGTCCTTTACCAGGAATTGACAGATATTTTATACCTGTGACATAGATAAAAATGGTTGGCTGGCTTAATATATAATAGGGACTTAAATGAATTATCTTCAACTTTAGCTATATATGGGAATTTTTGTACTGAAATTTTATAAGAAAATGAACGAATTGGTACTTAAATGATGTTGATTTTTATACAACATAATATTATAATTTGACCTACCTTAAAAATTAATATCTAAAGTCATCTTTCACTTAATACATTAAAATGCTATGATCTGTGAGCAAGCTTTTGTCATAGTCTATATGAGAAATCAATTCTAAATTAGTCTATATAAATGACCTGGAATATTTAAATTTTCTTTCATACTGTAGGTTCCTGTTTCAAACTATAACTCTTGGGGATGACAGTAAATATTAGCATTAATTAGAGATGGGTAGTCAGGGTGCCAGTTATGATGCTAGAGGGAAGCAAAAGCTTTACTGTATAAATGTTGTGGAAATACTACATCAAAAACTAATGATGTAGTGTATGGTGATTAACATAACATAATAAAAAAAAATTTAAAAAAATGTTGTGGAAATAGTTCTCTGCATCCAGTGAAAAAGTAGGAAAGCACAGACTCCGATTATGATAGAGAGAGATTCATAATAGTTGATATCAAATAAGTAAAGTTTCATGTATTTTAAAGAAGGAATTTTAGCAATTATCCCCAACAGGAAGATCAATTAGCAAACGAATTCATTGCAATTTGAGGTACGTTTCTATCCCCAAAGCAGTTATTTGCTAAGTAAGGCTCTCTCTCTTAATTGACTATGTTGCCCCATGAAATTGTTGGATTGTGGTATGACTTGCACAGTCTGTGAGATACAGATATTTTTGTGGAAAGCATTTGCTTTTATCTACTAAGTTAGGACATATAACCCAGAGCACATCCTATTTTTGGTGATAGAAGCTAAATAAAAGCTTTCATAAATATGATCATTTGTCTTTTTTTTTTTTTCTGAGAATCTTAGCTTATTTTGGTCTTTGGTCTTTACCCCTTAATAGACATACATATTTACCTTTTTAGCTGGCCAGTAAGTAGTAAAATGTGTTCTGGCAATGACTCGCCCAACTATTTTCAAAACTTAAAAAGTTATAAATATGACATGAACCTACAAATATCTATGTTATATCTACTTGGACTGTTTTCAAGAAGAAAGAAAAGTATGTTGAAAAGGAATGAAGACTAGAAAATACACTTCAGTTGACATATTGAAAAGATAAATCCAATAAATTATTTTTGTAACATCAACGTCTGTGGGTAAATGGAGATAAATATAATTAATATTGTCAATCTCTATTAAAAAATGCCTTGTTTTAACATGGATTGGATGTGAAAACATTGTCACATTAGTGCCCCTCACCTCCCTTATACACAGTCATAGAATAGAATTTGATGTACTCCCATTTTATAACATTTAAGGACAATTCCTGTGTGGCAGCCTGTGTTTAATCTTGTTAGCCAGATGCTTAGAAATCTTGCTAAGAACTAGAACTGTATTTGTATTACTTCCCAATCATAAGTTGTTGGGTTTTTTTTTAATGTAATGATGTCATTTTTAAGAAGACCTGACTCTACGGCCTCGTGCTGTTACTAATAAGCTGTGTGAGTTTATATAAGTCATTTATTCTTTGTAGCTACGTATTTATTTATTAAAACGAAGTGATTTTACCCCTGATCTCTTAAGAATTTATTCCTCTTCAAAAGTCTATGAGTCATAGAATTTAAGAGAGTAATGTGAATTGTATACATAAATAGGATACATTTGTCTACTGACTTCACTGTGTGTATAGCTTGAATACAGGGAAATAATTTGTCACAAATTATTCTCATTGTAAATAAGTTGACATTCTGGAGTCCAGTTTTGTGTACCTTTATGTGAATTTCTTGAGATCCTGCTAAGATTGATTTTAAAGCTTTCAAAACAGGTAACCATCTCCTACAATGTGTCCTGGTCAGCCACTGCCATCTGCCTTTCAGAACACTATTACTATCATTTTTATCTACAAATCATTATTGACTTGCTGGCATGAGGGCTAAGTGTACAACTTATTGGTTGTTTTGAACTTGGGTTGGTTATGTAACCTCCCTGGGCATCAGTTTCCTCATTTATAAAATACAGGTGATAATTTGTGACATTTCTTTCTCAGCACTATGTGAAATCACCTCATAACCTATGCTATGCATTTGGAGAATATTATCAGCCATACTCTGTCCATCCATTTGATTATTTTTTATTGAGAATCAATTTGATTTTGGTAATGTTCTGGTCCAGAGCGAAAAGGAAGAAAATAATCTCTCTCTACCCATGAATGAAAAGACACAGACAAGTAAATACAATGTAATTTGATAGTGCTGCCTTAGCAATATCAAGGTGCTATAATAATGTAAAGGAAGAACTGCCTAACCCTGCCTGAGCTGGCCTGAGAAGCCTTCACAGAGAGAGTAAGATTTGGGCAGAATCTGGAAGAACCGTAGGTGTTTGACAAGTAGCCTTTGACAAGCAGGTTTAACGGTTTTACACCTGTCCTATAAGCTGAACACTCCTAAATCAACACCAACTTCAGTCAATCATTTGTGTTCCCCGTGTTCCTATTTCATAGTGAGCTTAAAGTGATTTCACTCTCCCAGGGGAGGGAAGAACCCTGAAAGAGAGACAAAAACTGTAATCACCAGAAGTTTCCATTTTCTTAGTGTTTTGTGTATTTGGCTTCAGGGTTCCTACTGCTAAAAACATATTGGACTATAGATGCAGGCAATAAAATACCAGTATTGCTGAGAAGAAAATAAGAGTTCTGATTCATGTACTACCAAAAATTACTTCCAAATGAGCTCAGAGTTTCATCTTGGGAGATCTATTTGGCATGTATAGCATAAACAAAAGGCACATACCAAAAAATCTTCCTCAGAGAGATATCCTCTAATGGGTGGGGGGAATGGAAATAAACAAAAGGGTTTGACATTATGGATTAAGAGCTTTTTCAAAATAATCACATTCAAATTAATGAATGCAAAATTGAATAATGTCAAAGAGATGCTGCTGTATTAATTATTCATATCATTCACATTATATATTACTCAACTGAGGATGTTAAAGATATTCAAGATGAGTGTCCTATATATTAGCATGAAGATATATGTAATTGGAAACATTTCTAAATTCAGAATTAAGTCTCTTTTTCTAGTTAGCTTCCTGACATCGTCAGAGTTCAAAAAACTGCTTATAATATAGGCAAGATTAATTAATAATCCCTAAATTTAAGTTGAATATTTTATGGAAGAAAATAAAATTCCACATTTATAGAATGTCTAGACACTTTTTTTGCTTATTATTCTTTATGCTTCTGTTAGTTCAAATAGTTGGCTACACAGTCTTTTTTCTTTCAAGGTATTTTGAATAGAATATTCAAAATCAGCGAACCTTATATGTTTCACTGCCATGCAGTATCTAGCTTAGGCATAAAAATTAATTTCAGCTGTTGGGAAAGTGTTTGAGGCAAGTATTATACTTCAGTAACTTTCATAGCTCTAAATAAATTATAGAAAATATTTCTTTTGTATTTTAAATCTGTCAGTTTCCTGTTGATTCTGTGTGTTTTTGTTTTGTTTTTTAAAGAACAATATGTTACCCAGGCACTCAATTAATTTTTGTTTTGTGTGTGTTCTCTTTCTATATCTCATATACTGGAAATATAGGAACAAGGCTTTATAGAATTAATAGATTCATTTACATAACTTAAGAATAAAATGTTACCATTACTATTAATCATGTTAGAAGATTTCCCCTCGACAGAATAAGTATTTGCTGCCATTCATTTGATAAATAAACTTTAACATTTTTAAATCACAATTCCCCCTAACAATTTTTGAACGTCTCTTAGATGAATATTAAAATCACTAAATGTTAGGAGGCTAAGTGATAGCTATATTTATGCCATCATTCAGTCTTCTTGCTTCTATCTCCTAAATGTCTTAGAATCCATTCATTTCTCTCCAAGCACACCGAAGCTGTTAATTCTGGGCCTCTACCGTCTCTCAGCTGGACTATTACAATGATGTTCTGACCAGTGTCTGTGTCCACTTCTCTTATTCTTCTAATCCATTCACCACATTAAAGTCAGAATAAAACTGAAAACGAAACAAGACAGTGTTAACTTTCCTGACTTAAAATTCTTTAACGAATTCTCTGTAGCCTCAAGATGAAATCTAAACTGTTTCAAATTAAAATGGCTTCTAAAATCAAAAGAACTATGGTTACTTAAAGGCCGGACCACCTATGCTTGGCTGACTGAGCCATAATCACTTAATGTGTACTCTCCTCCCAGAATGGTAAAGGTAAAGTAGCAAAGTGGAAGCAGCAGAACAAGACAACACTATGTCTGAGAGGACCTGAGCCTCTTAGAACAGAGAGAAACTTAGGGAGCACAGTATTAAAGCTAAATGAAGGCTCAGAGTCAAAGGTGTGATTGCCATTATGCCTTAATTGCTCCCATATAGCTAGTATGGCATGGGGAGTTATGAAACTGAGGTTATTCTTATCTTAATTCTCATTTAGGGATGGTCTTCCTTCTATCTTAAGTAATTGTCCTTTCAGAATCTGAACTTGCATGAGAGCTCCTTATGTACCCATGTTGGAGATGTTTAACTTTGAGAAGCTCTCATTTCTCTCAAGCCATGTTCCTCTTTATAAGGCCTCAATCATGTCTAAATCTAAAGTATAATTGAAAAGCCGAAGTGAACACCTGCATTTAGTTACACTCAAAAGACTAAATTGATATATACAGAACATTTTTATTCATTCATTAAAGGCAATTTGCCTTTAAAGAAATGAGGATGAATTTTTGCATGAAAAGATTGT